CACACACACACATATACACACACACATACACACACACACATACACACACACATACACACACATACACACACATACACACATATACACACACATACACACATTTTCACACACACAGACACACACACATACACACACACATACACATACACATACACACACGCACACATACACACACATACACACACATACACACACACACACATACACACACATACACACACACACACACACATAAGCAAGCAAGCAAGCAAGCAAGCAAGCAATGAAGGAAGGAAGGAAGGAAGGAAGGAAGGAAGGAAGCAAGGAAGGACAAACATAAAGACAAGATGAAAATCACAAGAAATGAACACACAGTTACTAGGTGCGGTCAAGACTTAGACCGTGTCACATAATACTATGATAAATTGATAATAGAATTTACAAACCCAATCGTAATCAGGCGTATGTAGACAATAGGGAAGTACATAGTCATCTATATTTATAGCACAAAATGAAGATAGAAGAGCAAGATTGCCCATATGGCTGTCCAATCAGTTCCTAGTAGGGAGCCAGGCTGAGCCTGAGTTGCATTTGAAGTTGGGACTGGGCTGGGAATAGGTGTGCCAGTTGGTGCACCAAGGGCATGATATCTGTTGATACTATTTGCAAATTGCAAGCAGTGGCAATGTGTTTCTTTTGGCCCCACAAATAAGACCCCATGATCTTACTTGCATTTATTCTGGGTGAAGGCCCCACTAGCAGAGAGGGTTGGATTTAACACGCCTGAATGTGGATGTGTGGTTGTGTGGAGGGGTGCAGAAAAAAAATGTGATTGATCTGCTTCTCGGCATCTCTGCATAAAATACATCCAGATTCACGCAATTCTTTCAGGCACTTCTTTCTTTCTTTCTTTCTTTCTTTCTTTTTCCTTTTTTGTGTTTTCTCTTTTTGGCTTTTCTTTTCTTTTCTTTCTTTTTTTTTTTGATTCTTTTTGGCGTGTTTTTTTTGTTTTTTTTTTTTCGGACGTTTCCCCCCTTTTTGGCACAGATCATGCATCTGGGCATCTTCACACCCACATGCCTTCTGACGAGGGCCAGCTTCTGCATTCTTAGACCTCAGAGAGTCAGAGGGCTGTTTTTGTGTACTTGCCCCCAATTTGTCTCGCAGAAACAGAACCAGAGAGATGCATGCGGACTCAGATTCACACACACACACACACACACACACACACACACACACACACACACACGCACACACGCACATAATCCTTCGACAGATAAACATAAGAGTACAAAGACACAGCACATCGTTGCTCTCACGCCATGCCTCCTCCTGGCGTAGTTCCCAACATGTTTCACACAGAGATCTGTACCTAGACGTGCAGATGCCGAGATGCGTGATCTGTACCTGGATGTGAATATGGCCAGATGCAGGACCTGTACGTCTGTGAGTACTGGTACAGGTCCTGAATCTGGGCATATGCACATCCAGGTCCAGATCATGCATCTGGGCATCTGCACGTCTAGGTACAGATCATGCATCTGGGCATGCACACGTCCAGGCACAGATCATGCATCTGAGCATCTCCACACCCAGGCACAGATCATGCATCTGAGCATCTCCACACCCAGGCACAGATCATGCATCTGGGCATGGGATTGGAACGCGATCCTCTTAGGACAGATCCTCTTCGGACAGTGGGACCCCCCTGGCCCACAACAACATTCTCCTTTCCAACAGAATACGTATGAAATGGGTCTAAAGGCAGTCCTTTGGCTGCTATGGTACAAGGGATGCGTTTATGAAAGAGAAAGTGTATGCCTGGAAGCGAACGAAGTCACAGAATTAATTGTCCAACGGGTCGACACAGAAATTCGGGTGCTCTGGTCCAATGCCAACACTAAACTTCCAAAGTTTTGTCACAAAACAGATATTTCACCAACAAGATGAGCTCAGAAATTCACTTTGGAGTCTGGACCGGCTGGGGAGTCCTAAGAGGGGAAAGGGTCTGGGTGAAGTTAAATGGCTACGTCGGGGGGGGGAGGGTTCTAAGGTCACTCCGAAAAGAGACTATCACCCCGTACTCAGCGAATGGTTCAAGCTTCAGCCAGGAGCCTCTCTCAGATCTCCAGAATTTTTTGTTGATCCATTCCCCCCCTTCTAACCTAGCTTTAGTAGACCCTACCTTCTTCCCCCGAATACAACGTACGGTCACAATAGCTGCATTTAAGGCATCTTTCAGTCTAGATACAGCTATAATGACCGTACGTTGTATTCGGGGGAAGAAGGTAGCTGGTATGGTTTGGAAGATGAATGGGAGGTTCTCATCAAAGGTACAATACAAGGGCAAGATAGCTTGGTTGGCAACTTAGCACAGAATATTTGGTGGCCTTGGAAACGCTGAAGAGGCATGGTCTACCCTTACAGAAAATGTATGATAAAACACAAAGGTCGAGCGTGGGAAAATGTAGAATAAACAGGCCGCAGGGGGGCTAGGTCAGAGATAGATAGATAGATAGATAGATAGATAGATAGAGAGAGAGAGAGAGAGAGAGAGAGAGAGAGAGAGAGAGAGA